GGAAAGTATCGACGTTTAGAATTCATCGAACGCGCGTATCTATGTTTTGTTAATTTATTTTTTCGTAACATTTATTTCACATTACGCATTTACTCGCAAACGATAAAACAGTAGGACACAATGTAAAATTGGTAGCATGATTTGTTCGTCGGAAAATGTAATAATTTTTTACTGTATTGCAGTCACGTACGTAATTTCGTGTAATATATCGAGGATGTTTCGCTTTAAATGTAAATGTTACAGTTTTTAGCGTTTTAGATATTTTCTCCTTTAATTGTTCCTCGTTCCACTCGTTTCCTTTGTGTATCGAACATCCAGAAACTATAGAAACATTGATACTAGAAATCTATCGCATCCATTATTCATCGAATCAGTGTACCTTACGATACTGTACAGTATTATCCTTTAAACTCGATAAAATCCGTGGGTAAAGGTAGATAATAGAATTCATGGAAAGCTGCGTTTCTACTGTTGTTTGTAAACGCAAATAGATATAAGGAGTTAATCACTAAACGTAGCTGGTTACGTTAGATTCGTACGCTTGACAAACCTTTGAACTCGGTGTATCGTATCGGAAGACTCGTGCAACAATAGTAGAGACACACGTCGCTCTTGTGACATTTTCGTAGTCTCATAAATTTCAATTATCTTACGAATTCAAATACAAGAATCGACTGAGAATTTCTATACTACGTATCGCGGAGCAATCTCCAAACATTCGATTTCATCGAGTTGTATTCTCCGCTATTCTTATCCCTTGCTTTCTCAACCGATATCTGCCTCGTTCCTCGGTGTATTTCATGAAGCAAACAGCAGACAGGAAATAAGATTTATAAGGTCGATTGATATAAAGTCTCTAAACCGGATAACGTGCTTATTTTCCTCGGTTTCGATTGATCACGATGTACCAACGCAATTCCACGTTGGTGTTCGCTGTATTCTCGTTTTCTTCCCGTCGCGAAATAACATTGTCTGTACCGCTATATAGCCATTAAGTTTTTATTTCCTATATGTCGGGTTTTCCGCGGTCGTTGCGTACCTCCAACTACCACGAGTACGTTAAAACCACTACCCCTCTTTTCATCTCTTGCCCCTTTCGTTATCCTTTGTCCGCGTTCTTCGACGCTTTCTCCGAATGGCTAGAGGAAAGGTAGAAAGACAAAATCGCGTGATGGCATCCTCTACGCTCGGTAAATAAATTGTCTCGATTTTATCAGGAGTAATAGGTGCGCGCACGACACAGATTGGTCGGCGTCGGGCACGCGAATTAAAAGTTACTGTCCTGCCTTGGCGCGCGTCTCGTGAAAAAATCCAAACCACAAGGAGAAACTTGTTTTATGTCGTTTACCATCATACAGCCAATCTATCGTGCACGGTATTTTGTTGGATCTCAAACGGTCTTGGGTCTTACTCTGATTTTACCGCGATGTTAATTATCCCGGACTTTACCGTAGATACGAGATTTTCCTAAGTTTCTTACCTAAAACTAAGTTTGCGAGTTCCAACCTGCGTCATCGTACTTCCAACTTGTTAGACTGGTCGAAGTTCGTAGTCGGATAGACCTTCTACGTAGTAAATATCTGTCATCAAGGTCCGATTGCTGATGTAACTGGACAAAGTGTATCTTACCGCCTGCCAATCTTGTTTTCGTTTTATATTTAAAACCGGATATTTACGCTGTGAGAAAAATAAGCAATCCGTACACATGCAGAAAGCATCCGTTGTTCTCTCTCTCTCTTTCTCTCTCTCTGTTTCTATACGTCAATCATCATTTCCTCGCGTTAGACAACGACGCGCTCGTGAAATCTTTTTCCCATAAAGGAAATCGAAGCGGTCGCCTTTTCGATTCGTCGCTCCCGATTTCCTGCGGATATATTTTACCGTTGGAGCTCTTATACAGCAACATAGTCGGTAAATGTCTTACGTGAAAGAAGTACGCTCGCTCGAACCACCAAGCTTTTCTACCCTCTGGTTTATCTTTTTCGTTTCTTTGCCTCCTTTCCGTTTCTCGTTCGTCATTTCCCTAGTCGTCTCAAGAGACGAGGGTCTGCTTCAAAATTTTTTCACGCCTCGTCTCTTTCTCTTTCCTCCTGCCTTTTGTTTCATTCCGTTTTCATCCACCGCGTTTCTATCTTCACTCGCGCGAAAACATCTGCTTTCAACATGGGCCAGCCAGTTTCCTCTAACTTCCAGAACCGAGCTACAAAGACACGTTGACCGAACGAGAGATTAATAGAAGATCTACATCTCGTTTATTTCTATCCGATTGATACGATTTTGTTGGCTCTCTAAGATTTATCGACACGCTGTTTTGCATATGATTGATTCGCGTCGATTCTCTCGTTTCCTCGACGATACCGTGTCCTCTTTAGCTTCTCTTCCTTCCATCCAGTCCCGCGTTTGTTCCATTATCGGTCCTGATGCTATTGTACCGTTCTGTCGCAGAAGCGAATATTGGCTACGAAATAGTAAGACGTATCCCTTGGATTCTACCTCCCTTTCCATACTATCGCCTCGACACGATATTTTTCAAAGCATCCCGCGAGAAAATGGAACCTGCTTATTGAATCCTCTTTTCGCATCCTTGTATCGTAGTTGATGAAAATGTAGAAGATCGTATAGTCGAAGATTGACGTATTACGATTCGTAGAATTTGATGTTTCTCGAAACGATTGGTTTTTAAAAAAGTCTGACATATTGGTTGAACGGTTCTTAACTTACTTTATTTATTTATTTATCAAGCCTTCAACAGAGGAGTTTGAGAAACTTTAATCTCGTCGTTTATTGGCTCATGGGAATAAGCAAAAAAGGCTTTCATTAGTAGGGAGAGATATTTTTTCTGGAAATTCTCGAGCGCTGGTCGGCAAAGCTCAAGGTTCAAACGCTTCGTTCTCGAAAACTTAATTTTGAGAATTTAAGGTCGTATAACTCTGATTTCGAAAGTTCGAAACATAAAAGCTTTTACCTAGGAAATTGAAGCAAAAGGAAAGTTGTTCTAAGACAAACCGATAAGAGAGGAATCGAGTAAAACGTTCTATTACTTTATGTCGCCTACGATCCGATATCGTCGATTTATTACCGACGAAACTTGATGCAAATTACAGTAAAAAATGGCTAATTAGAAGCGAAAGAACTCAGAGTCGCGATGATTAATTTCAGCGAAATGTAAATGTTCGTTCTTTTCTGTTTCAGGTGAGTTGGTAAAACAATCATATTTGTCATCCATGAATTTTTCCGGGACTAATGGAAACTCTTGCGGTAAGACCTCTCCTTGATTTACGAGCTCGGGATATGAATGTGCAGGTGGGAGGTTCGGTAGAAGTGTCGGGTGTGAGTTATTAGCTGAAAAATATGTTTTCGCGGAAACTTCGGATTAAATTGACAAAGGGGCCAAGTTTTCAGCGTTGCGAATTCCGCCGACCCAAAGACGTGATTTATATTCGCATTAAGAGATTTTAAAAAAGGCTTCGACGGATTTCGAACAAATTTGTCGACTATGATCGAATTCGATCTCCTCTTCATAATACGGCCAAATCAAACCATTTCGTCTTCGCGTTTGCTCGTTTACAAGTAGCAGCTAATATTTATACTTGTGCACCGTTATATTTCGTTATGATGCACTATACTTTCGTTATAAAGATTCTATCGCGTTTAATCTGTCGCATTGAAACTTATTAATTCTCTATTATTCAACAGAGCTAATCAACGCGATAAACGTTGAAACGTAGATATACGCGAATAACAGCACATCCTAGTTTCAGTGGCATACGCGTTATAGACGCTTTAATTTCGGATTCTCCGAGAAATTCATATCCCGAGTTAAACGACCACCCAGAAAGTGCTCACCGACGGTCTCTCTCCAGACGTTATTTTTGTTTTTGCTGGCCTCTTATTCGTCTCTTCACCTCTTGTAAATAACTACAATTAATCCCGGATTGATCCGCCAAATTCTATTATAATTGGATTAGATTAAACGGAAAGTTGTAGTAGTGGTGTGTACGTACGATGGTCGCTAACGAGTGGTACACCTGCAAGACCAGCTTCTCTACCTTAAACACAAATTGAATATCTTCCGCTCTGGCTTTACCGGACAAATTAAATCGTATCTTTCCCCGGTGGAAAATTTAACGACGAAATTAACTTGGTCCCCTTTCGTGGCACCATCCTGGGCCCTGGAGGTGGTGGCTGCAGCCTTCCGCTAACGTCAGTCATATTTAATTGTGCGTTTAACGTACAGTCAGTCTCGCTAATTATCCGCGTATTGTCGAGAGGCCAGGTCAGTCGGAACCGTGCAAATGTTTATCTTTAATTGTCCGCGTACACTGGCGTCGCGATATACGAAGAAATAACCGGCCGTTTTCATCCACGCGGTCGTTGACTGTTGAAGTTGCGGTCGCCGGTTGTAAAAGGAGTAAAGGGCGTCGTGGCGGTGGAGTAGGGAATATCTAGGAGACTCTGGGAAACTTTCAGTAGGATGGTAGGACACTAACCTGGTTCGACTAATACTGGTGAGGTTTCGTCTACTTTAACCCAACCTAACTTAGCCTTAGATTAGACCAACGGACCATGTACTTGTTCACTTGCGCACCGTCTTTACCGACACGGTCCTCGACATAACCGTACCTTTCCGGTAGCTGCACTTTATACACGCCGTTCGCTGGGATTGCGAAGCAAAGATACATGAAAACTTTCCTTCAAGGAATTTATCCTCGTGTTACTCGCTCAGTCCCTTTTTCCTTCTCTTCCTCTTTGATTCTTCCTCCTTTCTTCCATCTCTGTTTGTCCGCCTCTGTTTTCGAGAATTTTTTGTCACTTATCAAATAATAATCCTAGAAGAGAACGTCGATCGGAACTATCGTTTTATAAACTAGTTTAGCCTCAATTAGATTTTCGAGTATATCGTAACGCATGACGATATTTGCACGCGAACGTTCTGTTCAGTGTTCATTGAAATTTCAACTCTATGTTCGAAAGTATATTCACGAGCGTAAGTACGTTTAATTTTTATTATTTCGGATCCGTGATCGCTCGGTATCGAAATTAATTTCCACTCGTCTATATTCGTGTTGTTGTTGGTGGACTCAGCGGTCCACCCTTAGGCTCGAGCAGTATATAACGTTCGTTTGACGGACGCAGGATCTGTAGCGAATCCGACTGTGTGTACTTAAGGAATCGACGCCAAACATAATTACAGGTTTCGCTCGTTTGCTTCTGACAAACATTCCTCTCTAGCTAATACGGTCAAATACATTCCTGTGTTTCCCTCCAAGTTCGGAACTCGATCGCCGGTAGCACGCAGCCGCGACTATCGTTAAATCGCTTTCGTATCGTTTTACTCCTATATCGGAATTTCTACGGGTCATTTACGAATTAACATAACGTATGGCACTGGAATACTTGGTTTTACTGTTTCCTTGTAAACTTCGTACGGGGAAGTTCGAACTTCTCGAGCTCCGGTGTACTTGGCGTAGTTTCTCGTTAATTCTGCTTCACGCATGGCCATGAAAGCGAAGAAAGCAGGTCAGGTTTGGCTTGACACGCGTAAATCTCCCGCATGTTAGTTAGCGTACGATATTTACGTTGAACCAGTAGATTCGCAGAATTCTCTTCGGAGACAGCCGCATAATTAGGTCCTGGGAGGACAGTTCCAGAAAGTCGCGTAACTTTGTAACAGAATTAAGCTACCATATCTCATTCTATCTTTCCGCATACTCCGCCGTTCGTTCATCCGGTTAGGTTTAAACCCCTTTCTCCCTTGTAGAATCGCATGGTCCCGCGTGATGTGATGTGGCGTTTCTACTACATCCGGACCGGCATATTAAATTCCTCCAAGTTTCTTCTCATTTGACACGTTAGCACCTCGTATCTTTACGGCCTGTAGTTGCGTTTCCTACGATTCGCGTTCCTATCTTCCTTCATCTTCTGCTCTCTCTCTCTCTCTCTTTCTCTTTCTTTCTCGTTTACCTTCTCGATTCATAACCTTCCTTCGTTGTTCTACGAACTGTGACCTTCGAGCACGTGCTTGACTTAAGCGCAATTTAATATGGTATAAGTTTGTGTAAGGAGTCAGGATGGAAACACAAGTTGCCGCGCCTAATCAAGCCTCGCTTTAACCCCGAGAACCGCTCCCTAGAGATGTTGGAAACTACTTGTATAACTAATAACCGCGGTGGGTTTCCAATCTGAAACTTGGCACGAGAAGAGTGCTGGACCTGCAAATACACTTGGCTTTTCCAATAACCGATGACGAGTATCAATTTTCTGGAAACATCGATTACGAGAAAATCGTTACCGCGTTCTTGATTAATTCAAGTAATTTTCCTTTATCGTCGTTATTATTATTATTATGATTTTTATTGGGAAACGCTAGCAACAGTTTCGCGTTCAGAAGATGACATCCTTTTGCTGAGACATCGATAGTCTTCGTCTGATGTAATTAATGTCCACTCGACTTCACGGTCGTTAGGAAGTTTAACGCAAAATTATGGAGAATCCAATCGTGGCTGAGTTTCCTCGTCGACAGTGGTGTATATATACACGTACCTTATCCGTGATATTTACTCCATAAATCTGACTTAATTAAAGTCGTACCTCGATACCTCGCGATTCAGACACCGGCAACAACGTTACCGTCTCGCATTCTACGTAATCAAGTGCATAGAACAAACTTGATAGAACGCTCTTTGATTAGAGAGTTTGCGAGTAGTCGTTCCGCTTTATCTGTCACGCGGGGATAGCGCGGAAGCGAATCCTCGAGAGCCGCGCGTGAGACTTTCGTTAAACTTATTCGCGCTACCTTTCTGTTCAATGGATTATTGATTTACAACGTCTCGGTTCTAAAGTGTTTGATTCGTTGCGCGGGAATCGTCGTACTCTTGCTATTTCTCCATCTTCCATTGATCGAAAACCATATAATACAATTCAAAAGCACACGATTACGTCTATAACGTCTACAAGATGGGGTGAAAATCGTAATATACTCGGTAAGGAATTGATTCCACGTTAGCCACGGCAAGGAAATTTCATATTAAATTTTTTATTTCTTTTTTTTAAGAAGAATCAGCCATTTCGTCTCCTACGCCATATACATGTGCGGCTCGATAGGATATATACGGTCCTCAGCTATTTTCCTTTTTTATCGTTCAATATCTTGACTGGACAATTTGGACGAGTTTCGCGACGTGGTTCGTTCCGTGGCGCATTAAAAGTGCAAAGGCTAAGTGTCGTGGTATTCGGTTAAAAGTTTCACAGGAACTGGTTGTACGAAAGGGTAATATATTTCGGTTGCGATTTATGACTTCCGACAAATTTAAACGCACTTCATACTTCTCCGCCGATAGGTATCGATTTCTGGGCGCACGGCTGGTGCCACGACTTCGATATAATCGCGTTATTCCGGAAGCAGTGTCGTCGTGTACTCCTCCCGGCTCTTCGTTTTCCGTATTTGTCTTGTCTTCCGTTCTGCTCACAAAAGAGAGCAACTGACGACAGAGAACTGAATATCCTTGCTGGTAGCGAAGCGTGCGAGGCAGAGACGGAGAAATGGTCGGATAGAGAGGCAGAGAAGATCAAGGACGAACGTCTATGTGAAATACAGCGTGCGAGACCGCCAGGCAAAGAGTAGTGACGGAGAAAGAGAGGGGGAAAGGAGGCAATGGAATTTGATATCGTGCGCAAGACCAGGAAAATAAAGTGGAAAAATTCCATCTGGTCAGACGTATCAACCTCTATGTCCTTCTGGCGGAAAGAAGAGAAAGTAGGATGAAGGTACGCGAGGACAACTCGGCCAGACACTCAATACACCCTTGCTCGATTCGCGGGAAAAGCACCGCTGCAATACCGGGGGATGAAGATTCATAGCGCCGACCAAGAAATTTATTACATTTTCGGTGTATAGCCGGGTGTAAAGAATTCGAACGATCCAACGTTTTGGTTTCTTTTACCCTTACCTTGCATCCAAGAGACAAGTTTTGTCTCTTGCACGAATAATCTTTTTCGCAAGGTTTGTGGTCCAGAAAAGTGAACAAGAATTCATTACAACGGAAAAACTGTTCTCCGACGATATTCATTTCTCATCGAGATTCTATCACGTGTACCTCTCTTAGTTATATCTACGAATGACTACGAGATTCGTTTTATCTTAAAAAATATTAAATATTTGTTAGAAAATTTACTTAATCTCTTATCGTAATCGACCAATCTTTTCAAATTCGAAGACGAATCTCGAGGTATTTTTATCCAACTCCTACGATATTTAGAAGGTTTAGACGTCGTTGATTTCGCTGTGCCCTCATCGTGTTTCCTCACGTCGTTCTTCCGTCTCACGACTCGTTAACTTTCGCGACAGCAAAAAGCGTTGAACGACGAAACTGGCTGGTACAGTCCGGAGTGGTTGGCGACGAACCCCTGGTCCGGGTGTTGGCAAGCGTCGCGACGCGTCTCGTCGCGTCGTTCATGTTCACTGTTTTCGTGTGCCATCCCTCTGTCCATTCGTTTGCGAAAGTAGAGGACGTCGGGCCTGACGAAATTAAAAACATTTACTTCCACGAAAGAAACACGAGAGGCGAGGGTCGCCGCTCTCATAAGCCGGTGACACATCTTGCAGCCAAGGGAAGGAGTAGGATGAGCGGAAAGCTCGTGAAACAGGCCGGGGCAACGGAGGGGGTAAGTGGAAACCTCCTACTCACTTTCGAGATGTACACAGGCTCGTGCCAACGTCGGGCGAAAGGAAGCAAGGGGGATGGGGAAGGATGAGAGAAAGGACAAGTCGGGAATACCAGACAACTACGACGGTGAGAATTAATTTGAGATATTGCGCTTACCTGGAGAATTGGATCTGGATATCGGGGATTTTGAACGTGTTCGTGAGATCATTTATATCCCGTGCAACGAACGTCTCAATCGATACGAGATACAAAGGAAAAATTTATGAATAGTCAGAAGTCTCTTCTCGCGAATGCTGCTTTAAATTCGTACAATTGTCTGATCGTTGTGACGATAGATATTAGAAGCGTCAATTCGTGTTTAATGCTACTCGTTCATAAAAAAGATACATACTTTGTCGAACTATAGATTGGTACGATCGAAAAGCGAATGAATTTCGTTGTTGTTATCGAGGACTAAAACGGTCGTTTCCACCAACTCAGAGAGTCTTGCTTCTCGAGAGGCGGTTAGTTGCAGAATCGAACGAAACTTTACGCCGTTGCTCGTGATTCTCCGTTAATCGGAGTCTCTCGTCAAAGCTGGAACAGCATCGAATCCAATTTCTGAGTGGCGACGAGCACCGTGATACAGTCCACGTGACGTGAAACGGGGATAGCTCTGGCTAGAGGAAGCTCGGTGATGGAGGCTGCGTAAGCAGATTACGCAACTGTGTAATTGAATGGGCACTCTAAATACCCCGGCCGCTAATTAAGAAGGCGATCAATCGATTATCCCAGCCGGCATCGATACACGTTCCTCCTTCCACCTGGCCCTCCTGATCCGCTCTTCTAGCAATGTAGCCGTGACGCCGACCAGAGATTCGTAACATGGTTGGCTGTTACCGGAGGGGGTTTTAACCCTCCTCCACACCCCTTGCTGCGCCACTTGCCACCCCTGCTAAGTCTGTTATCAGCAAACCCCAGCCTCATCGGAGACTGGTGCTCGGCTAACTGCCGATTATTGCCGGCGGCATAACCTTCGATTAAAATCAAAGCCCGCCCAGCTCGTTTAACGGTCTCTTTAGGTTTCCCAATAAACGAGCTGTACAAGAGACGTATACTTCCATCTCGTTTCCCTTTACGTTTCGTCGATAGAAAGAAATTTCTATGTTGTCCGATTTCTCTCTTATCCAGCAGGTGTCATAGATAAGGTAGAGGGCGCGATAACAGGTATCCGTTTGAATTTTTCGAAATGATCGACGGCCGAAGATTGTTAACGAAGTCGGTGAACGGTGGTTATTCGTGCCATGGTTGATAATATCTGAAATATTGAAGCGTTAAGTTGAACGGTTAGCATTTTTCATAGAAGATTATGCCTGAAGGTGAATCGTTGATCCTGACAACGCGGTGTGGAGGAGGGCGAGCTTTCGAGGGATTTAAGAGCCGGATGATAAATATTAAAATAACAATTTGAATTCCACTTTCGTTCAAGCTCTGTCGGAATCCCACAGCATCGGGAGAAGGTTTTGCAAGAAGGAAGGAAGGAAGGAAGGAGGTAAACTCTAGAGCGTGCGGATACTGTAGATTCATGCAATAATCATTCTGCGTGCTTAGTCTACGCTTTGGCGCGATCCATTATCTTTTTTCCCGCTTTGTTTCTGCATCGTGAGACGTTGTTCGCGTCGAGAATCAGAGACAACGCGAATTTCATTGGGCTAAACGTATATTTTTTGCGTTTCGTGAATTGAACACGTGGAAGATAGATAGACCGATGTTTCGATAGAATCTTCAATTCTACCGCGCAGAAGAAGAACCGCGCAAGATTAGACGTTCGCTACGGGTAAATTCGAGCTATGATTGGAGATACGGCGATAGAGAAGATCGGTGTATCTATGAATTCGCTGTTCTATTATACGAAATCGATTAGTCAGCGTGCAAAAGTTGCCGAGCATAGTTGTAGGTTCGAATACGAATCTCTTTCTCCTATCCTGTCTATGTAGGTTATATCGTAGATACATTCTTGTATTTGATGCGCATCATTGCTCGCTTTGAGCCATTATTGTACGAACACGTGGCACGCGAAAGTCCATTCAAAACTAACCTGACGAGCAACCTAATATCGAAAGTGATCGTTCGCTTCTAAATTCGGAATTTCCATCATCGAAATTACCTTCCGTTTATACGAGTGAAATCGCCTTTAATCTGTAATTTCGTGCAGCCGTGAACGCTAACGATAAGTGAATTCGACTCATAAATTTCGTGATGCGAAAAATCTTGAAACTTTGGTTATTTTGCTGAGAGGAAGAGGAGACCAAAGCGCGAAAATTGATATAAATTTTCCATTTTAATGAAAGTCCGATAACACGATTGTGCAGGTTAAAGCGGTTGCTTAGACGCTTGGATATTAGCGTATCCCGAGAGGGTGGCGAAGATAGAAGGACGTTGCGGAGGTTTTCAAGGGTTGTAGAGGCCGAGGGGGAGGAGATGGTTGGTCGGGCATTCGCGACAAAGGCTAATTGCAAAGCACGGGAGAACCGCGTCGCAAACGGGAACAAGCCCATATTACGTCGGAACACACAACCAGCCATCGTTACCCCATGTCCCTTCTCTTTATCTCTCTCTTGTAGTAGCTTTTGACGTCTTTCTCGCGCGTTTCCCCTCTGTCGATCCTTGCTTTCTACCTTCGCCAGCCCCGTGACTCGGCTCTTTCACGTAACACGTTACCTGCATGCACTGACCGGATACGGTGACATCGAGGACGAGCTCGAGGTCAGATGACACCTCGAACTATGCGTACGCCGTAGAGAAACGATCTACTAGTATGGTCGACCATGGCTGAACTATGGTCCATCAGCTCGCTAACTCGGGGTTGGTATGATACACGCGCAAAGCATCCCTACAGAGTGGCGCGACCAGGTAAACCTCGACCTCGAGACCGCATCGCATACAATTCCCTCTACCCCTACCAACGGACCCTTTCACAGTGAATTCAACCTTCGACCGTATCCAACCTTCCTCTTCCCGTGTCCTCTGTCCGTCTCTCTTTCGCTCCGTCTTTATCATCGACGCTTTCCTCGCTCCTCTGTGTTATGTATCGTTCTATGCTCGGTCACGTGTGTCCGTATTCACGCTTGTACACGCGTGGTTGTGTGTACAGAAGCTCTTTCGGTCGACGATGACAGGCAGTAGTGTGCTTTCTCTCTCTCTCCCTCTGGACCGGTACAAAGGTGCTAATTGACAATATCGCGAGAATGCACGAAAATTGGCCGGAACAACGTTTAACGACGTTAGAAAATTCGTTAACGCCAGGCAAAAATGATCGATCATAAGCGGCCGGTGCCTTTCGGTGTCGCGCCACATCGCGTCGCGTTTCATGCACTTTGCTTCCCCGTGAAATTTCGCGCCGCGTCGATGCACGCGACTAATTCGATCACAATGGAAGCTTTAAACGGGACTTAATCGAATTGAACTAAATGAAGGTTATTTAGTTGGAATATCGTGTCTGGCACGTGAAATTGATACGAACGCTTGGTACGGCAGGCAATTAGGATGGAACGACGTTCCTTTCTCCTGTACATCCGCCGGTCAGGGAGAAGACAAGAGAAATCTTCGGATCGAGCTTCCTAAGGCATTTGACGATTATGGATCGCAGCTCGTAATTGAATGGATAATTGAAGCGATCCTTATCAAAGCTACGAACGTTATGGAGCACGGACACGGCAAACACGAGCTCGTTTGGCTGTAACTCCGTCGACCGGGCTCTTTCACCTTCTCTTTGAATGCGCCAAGAACATTCTATGGATTGGTAAACCAACCTCTAATTAATTGGTTAAATATTGATCGAAGAGTAAAATTCCGTGTCCTGAATGAAATTTGCTCGATCGTTCGCGCGAAAGACGATCGCAAGAACGAAACAGATATCCCGTTGCTGAAATATCAATCGATTCGCGAAATACGAGACTGATAACGCGGCGTTACATTTGAGTTTAGAAATAGGATATCGACACTATGAAAATGTCAAACGTTTCGATGGCAACATTGTATTTTTGATACAGAATACGTTTATCGACGTGTTTTCAAATCGATGTCGAGATATAAATGCTCGTACAAACATGGACATAAAAGACGATCAGTGCGAAATTGAATTCCTTTTGCTCTCGGTCCTTCGGTTTGCCCCTGACGGCCATCTTGAAATTCCATGATGTTCCATAGAATCGCAATATCCCGTAGCATCATGACACGGCATTGTGAGCAGAGGGTTGCGAATGACGGCTTTCATGGCTATGGATATCCAACGATGCATTGTATGTACAATTTGTGACGTTGAACAGATTGACGCATTAACCATTGTTAACAAACTTGTTGTTCGTTATTCGTATATCAAAAAATTGTTGGAAAATCACATTCGGTATACATCCGACGACAAAATAGTATTCTTTAAATTCTTCAATCGATTGCTATTAAAATTTCCAATTCGTAGAATCTTCGCGTTTCGATGTCGATATCCAATTTCAAAATCGATTATCGTCATCTAGCCAGCCTTATACTCGAAGAATCGCGGATTTTTAGCAAGAGGCGGAGAAGGCTGGAAAAGCGTAAGATGGGCGAGTTACTTGGCATGCAGGACGAGGATAGTCGGGGCAGGAATTCCGTATGGATTAAGTAACCCCGTGCGCATAAGCCCGGATAGAATCGTGTACACGTACACAGGCTGCACGCTCGAAGCTTTAAGCGTACATTTTTAAACACCGTGCTGCGACTCCGTGAAAAAGCTCGATTTATTCGTCGTTTAACGAAACTTGATTTAGCGCTAGCCACGTCGCCTTTCCTATCCACGTGCACGGATTAAAATCGTCGTAACGATGTTTCCCAGTAATTTCGTCCGCATTGCTGTCTTTTCCATAAAAATGTTGTTCTCAAGGCTGCGTTTAAAACGTTTTTACGACGCCAAGTGCCGCTACTACTATCTCTCGATAGTATGGAAAAAGAGACGTATCAAACTGAAATTCAAATTTCAAATTTCGAATGCCAGAATTCAGAGAATATTAAAATCTTAGTGACACAATCCTGTTCCTTATCTCCGTAGGTGCATCTATAATTTTCACGTATAATAACACGAGCAATATGTTTGGCAAGGTGCGAGGGTGTCAGACAGATGTTGTCAAAATTGTCGGCCTCATTTTGCACGGCATGTTTTTTCACGCTTTCTATATATCGTGGCTCGTTTTCGACATTTTTTCGCCCGGGACATCCTCACCCTGTGCCATGGAGGTGAATGGAGAAAAGACTGGACGAAGATGCAGGGTGACAACGCAATTTCGCGGTGAAAACACGGCGGGGAACGTATAAAGAGATTGTCTTTCGCTGTAGCCCGCTTAAAAATTTGCCGAGCACGGAATAAAAGTACCCTGGCTGACGTCGAGCGGGTTTACGTTTACGGACGAGTGTGCTAGAATTACCGGAGTCGGATCGACGTTCCCTTATGTTTGCACGCCAACCAACAAGGAGTAACGGCGTCCCTTGTTATGCCGCGCACGAGATAATAAACCTTTCGTCGGGGCAACCATAACCGGTACGTTGTTTCGCGTGGCACGGTTATAAACGTGTCCGCTATTCACGATCCCGTTCGACGAAAGAACGCACCGATAAACAGCCGTGTTATCGTCCTGCGATTAAATTTTCCTCGACATCCACCGAGTTAAATTCTTGTCAAAATTGTACAGATTTCTCCGTTAATGGCGTCGATACGTTTTACGGGAGGAATAACTCTACGGAATACGGACCGTGATTTGCAAGGTAGCGAGGAGCACGCGATGGCACCGAGTCGAAAATTTTCGCGAATGCCAGCGTTCACCAAGCCGCGTTAAATCCAGCCTCGAGGCTCTGTTGTAAATATAATCAATGCTTTCTCGTTTATCCGCTTTCGCGAAAACCGCAAAATAAACGTCGACCAACAAACGAGAAAGGCAAAGAGGAGCGGAGCTACGAGAAGACACGCCATGCTCATAGCAGCGGCAATCTTTTTGAACGTATCGGCTTTGCTTTACGTATATTTCGCATACGCTGGCTCGTACATTTTCCTATTTTACACCGCTGCTCTGTTTTAGCCAGCGGACGAGCTTTACGAACTGGTTACACGTATATTCGCTGGAAAGCGACGTTTGAGTTTGCGGCACGTTAGTTGGCTGGAAAATTTCCGAAATGGATAACACGACGATGAGATTCGAGTCTAGAGAGAAGGAACAGTTTTATTTAAACAGATGGTTAATTTTCCTCGCAAGAAGTCAAAGCGACGGCTTCCATGGTTACAAATGAAATCTG